CAATTCCTGCCGCATCGCCGCATCAAGCGGCCCGTCTGATCCTCTTAGTCACTCGGTGATGGTCAAAGCAACATCGAACACACCCATGATGCTCTCGCGGATCCTCATCATTACAGTATGTGCTGATTTCGGAAGTCCGTCCGTCTTGGGAGATCGTATTATATCCACCAAAATAGAAGCAGGGAACAGTGCGCCAAGTTCTCAAGCTCATCCATCGCGCAACAGAATCAACGGGACACTTCGGAAGCCGGCTGCCGGGTGCGCATGAATACATAACAAGTACCAAGTACCAAGTCTCTTCAGTAACTTCGGTGCACTAATGAACAGTGACTGCAGATTGAATGCAGTGCTTGCTATAGGTCCCGAACCCACTGACATGTCTTGACTGGGCAAAACTTGGGATCTTCAATTCACGTGCTGCCCGTGGCTGACCGTCAAAACGTCAATTCACCACGCCTGCCACACAAATCCAAACGAAACAACCAATGGCTGAAGCATACTCAATCAACCTTTCAAGTCCTGGTCTGGTCCCTGTCTGCACCTCTTTCCATCCTCCTCCTCCGAGTTCGCCGGCGAGCTCTCCTCCCGGGCTTGCATGGCATCCTGCTCGTAGAGCTTGCTCCGGGCCTCCACCTGGCGGAGGAAGGAGCAGCCACTTCGCAAAACAAACAGAGTATGAGACATGAACTTAGTAAAGTCGAGTGTGAGTAAAATATCAAGAGATGCAGCACATTCATTCAGAATGATTGAAGTATTCAGTTCGGAGTACAATCAGTATGAATGCTTTTGTTGTTCTTTAAACTCATTCAAAGATATTCCAAGGTTCCTTTCCCCAAGTGACCAAAATGGCTCAAAGGGATCAACCCAATCCTGGCCAAATACCACCTGACCATGTGGACCTGGTCAGGGAAGACCTTCCTCCACTTCGGAGCACTGCTTTCCAGCCCTATGCAGCAATTCATGTGGTCACTGCTTTCCAGCCCTATGCATCCATCGTCTCGAAAGCCCATGCCATCGTCTCAGTAGTCCACACGAGACATACGTTCGTTACGTTTCGTTCCACGCCGAGAGGCTCAACGAGATGTGCGGTGAGGAAAGGACCAGAACGCGGGGTTTGGAACAGTCACGAAGTGTCTTTGGACCATATGACCATTCTCTACCTACTAGGTTCAAAAAACTACTAGGGGCTCCTGGCCTTACTACTAGGAGCAAGGACGCTACTCGGGGCTCCTGGCCATACTACTAGGAGCAA